ATTATACAAATACTACAATAGCGTTTTTGTTCAAACTGTAATATATGATGAGCGATACTATCTTGTACATTATATGTAAGAAACACAAAATTCTACCATCTTGTTACCAGCGAGGGCATCTCAAAATGCCAAAAATTAACGAATTTTCCTGTTATTTTAGAGTGCTACATGTACAAAATATGATGCATGAATAGGATTTATACAAAAAAGAATAAAATATGATGAAGAGATTATCAAATTCATATGTAGTAAATTTCAAGAGCGTATGCTTATTACTTTTTATTTAATAACATTTTCATTACCCCTTTCCTTAAGAGGTTATGTTTATCATAACATGAAAAACGCACTATAACAACGTCAACCTACCTATCAGTTGCAAAATCGGTTAAAAATTCAGTTATATAAAATTGTAATTACATTTTTAAACCTGTAATTGCTCAATTTTGTTTAATTTCATAAATCAAGTGAAAAAAGTTGCTTTAAGACAGTAAATACGCTTCATTTTACTATAATGCGCGAAATATTGCGCAATGAAAGCTAGAGTCGGCCCCCTTAAATTCATTTATAATCTTTTTCAACACTATATGTAGTTTGTGAAAAGTGCTGCGAACCTATATAGATTCCCTTTTTTAATTGCTTAAATTTAATTTGTTGGACGGCAGGTTGAATATTTTGCTGGTCAACTACATTAAATATAGCTATAATTAATTTATTTGCAAGATTTCATGAGGTTCGCAGCATTTTTCAAATATTTGAATGCTTCTTGAGTTAATGTGTAAAAACTTGACAAGATACATTGAGGGTATGCCCTTGTATGGAACGCCGTCACTGCCTTATAGCAGAACACAACATTGCATATCGTCAACCTTACACTATATTATGTCAACACTCTATGACATTTACTCAAACTACTATTGCTTTGTGTCAACCTTCCATTACAGTATATAACATTTTTGAATAAATTTTCTTATTATATCACAAATGTAATAAGTTTTGCTATAAACCCAGAAAAATGCTGAGTCACACCGGAAACAGTTATGTCACACCGGAAACAGTTATGTCACCCCCGACGGAGACGGTTATGTTACCCTTTCGATCACGTTCACGTGTTTTTAAGTTACGCATTTTAGTTCGGGTTCGAGATTTTATGACGTTGGTTGCTAAGCAAAAGTAAACAACACAGCGTATTTCTTAACGTCAAGAAGGCATTTTTGAATTATTTGTGTAAATTTTATCGATTTTGAATGATTTTAAATTTTCTTTTAAATTTGAAAATGTCATATAACATATAACCGCCACATAATTATCTGGCGGCCGCCAGATTAAATATTTTTCGTACGTGGCACCAACGGGCTTCCCTAATACAATAACACTCACCTTTTGCAAAATAATTTATGTGGCGGCCGCCAGATATTAAGTGACGACCGCCAGATATATAGGTGGCGGCCACCATATAGATTAATAGGCGGCCGCTAAATAATAAGTGGTGGCTGCCAGATATATAAGTGGCGGACGCCAGATAATAAGTGATGGCCGCCAAATAAATTATTTTTCGTACATGGCACCAACGGGCTTCCGTAGATTTTTGACTTCAGGTAATGACAAGTTTAATTATAAAACACAATTACCTGACGTAATGCAATTTTGACCTCACATATTAAAGAAATGAAATGATGCAAAGAAAGATTCAGTTCACGTAAGTTTTAACACTATGTAAACACATTATCACTTCACATCATGATTTTTTTTGACTTCAAGTTATGAGGTGCTGACATAATGGAAGGATGTATTTAGATATAAAATAGACATCGCATCCAAGTTAACGGTCTTTTCTTTAATTGAAAATAATATTTTATTTGAGAACAAAAGGCATTTTCATTGTACAAAATGTGACTTGATAAGCCTCTCACTGTGTACAAACTGCGTCATTTTTGCGAGATGACGTCTTTTTGACAAGTGCATTGCGATCGATGGATAGATTATATACTGTTTTGTGGGATTTAACAAGCGACAAAACTGCATGTAATGGTAAGTTTGTGTGTAATATATATCTATCCGGCTGTTTAAAATAGCAAATTTCATTTTGTGGCATTTTGAAGACCTTATATTATGTGTGACGTCATAGTAAACATTTCCCGTTCAAATTAGGCCCCGCCTCCTAATTGCAACCTTAACTGTGCTGCGTTTCTTCATGTGCAGATTCTCGCCGGAATTTGCAAAATAAAAGTGACCTTATATTCCTTTCTGGAAAAGGCAGACCCCCTCCCCTTCCCGTTGAAATAGCAGATCTGCGATAAGTTTGTCTGAAAAGTCGAAGGTATGAAGACAATTTAGAAGTCAAGGACTAACATCCACGTCCCTTCCCCCGATATATGTGTTTATTTTTTTTATATTATATATTTCCTTCTGTAGAAAATTCTGCAAGGCACTCAAATTAACGATAATATCTTATGAATGAATTTCCGCCAAATCTCGTCCCGGCTATAAATACATGTATTAATGAATCCCCCCCCTCCATTTTTCTGGGGTTTTTCCTATTTTGGATTTTTAGTACGTATCGCATGTTATAAATAATTTTACCCTTTTATCTCTTTAGGCTGCTTTTAGATGTATCGTTTTCGACAGATATATAAAAAAAGATGGCTTGCAATTTGTCTTAGTTTTCGTCGTCTAAGTCACTTAATCTTCACTTGATCACTTTCAAAAGCGTAGGGTGGAGTTAAAATACAAAAATAGGAAAAAGTTTACCCATCCCCTGCTTCAGCAAGAAAAAAATGGAAAGGAGGGAGGGGGTCGTATCCTACGTGCTTGTAGTTATTTACAAGAGGTCAGTGCCGCTCAATAAATGTATTGCTTTATGTTTCATTAGTATTAGAACCATAGCAGTTTTTAATTTGTGATCAACCTGTACAGGTAAATCTTTTAATGTAACCAGTTCATTTGCCATGTTTAATATAATAACTTAATTTATTATTATGAACTTTTAATTCAAAATTAGCATAAGGGGTCTGGCTGGGCGGGTCAACTGATTGCACTTTTTATGCAAATGAGGACAAAAATACTGGATTCTGATTAGATGAGCCGCTGGGTGGGTCAACTGAGTGCACGTTTTATGCAAATGAGGTCAAAATGGTGGATTCTAATTGGATAAGCCGCTGGGTGGGTCAAAGGAGTGCAGGTTGGGGGTCTGGGGGGCTAGGCGGGTCAACTCAGTACAGCCTAACCCTAACCCTTACCCTAACCTAAACTTAACCCCTAACCCTAACCCCTAACCCCTAACCCCTAACCCCTAACCCTAACCCTAATCCTAACCCCTAACCCCTAACCCTAACCCTAACCCTGGGGCTAGGCGGGTCAACTCAGTACAGCCCTAACCCTAACCCTGGGGTGGGGCTAGGAGGTTCAACTCAGTACACAGCCCTATATGTTCAATGCGGCCCTTACACTGTACTAGCTTTTTTTTTTACTATACGCTGCTACTACGATTTGGCAGCGATTCAAATCACAGCTACCTATGCATTGTGGCGTCATAAACTTGGCAGCGATTCAAATCTTGATTATGACGTCATGTTAGTCCTTCACAGCCTCGGTGGCTGCTTATTTAGACTCAGTAGGCCTAACACAGACTTTCGCAGCCCTGGAGACTTCATGTAAATAACTGTTTGGTCCTTTAAACTGGTTTTCAACCTTTTTTCTTCTAATAAAGTTCTGAACAGCTGAATCCTAGATCAGGCTAGATGTTATTTCACTGGATTATTTAATGAATATTACTATACTGTGTATAAACACTATTATCTGGTAAGTTTTCCATATTTTTTAAGATACATTTTCTATGAAGGTCATCTTTGTATTTATCAATTATTACTGTGTTATATACATAATTTTTATAACATTGATAAAATTACTGCAATGCATGTTTACCCTAAAATACACTAGGACTAAGAGATCCTCAAAATGCTCATAAATCCTATAGCACGAGTTATGATACATTATGTCATATTCCTTTTGTTGGATCAGTATTCTGAATATTTTTATGAGGAGCCTCATAGCATATCTAATAAATCCAAATTTATATAAAACTCAAACAATGTCACAGTTACCAAGTTTATTATATATACAAAAACACATATTGGATCATGGGGACTGACAACCGACTTACAATGCGTTAACAAAACTGATCTATCTCCAGGACAATTGGAGATAGTCAAAGTATACATGGTAACACATAAGAAGCAAACAAGTAATAAGAATGTACGACTGTTAAAATATATGCAAATGTAGTAAACAAACATACCTACAGAAAACACACTCATTAACCCCCAGGAGAAAACTTGGGGATTATTGGTAAAATATGGAAATTCTGATACATGCTTTTACAACAATTAAAATGACATTCTCAGTTTCTAATATATCTATGAACCTTTTATCACAGTGACCAAATGAAGGATATGGAGATAATTACTCAGATCATATGCCAATAAATCTTATCTTTTTTTATTGAAACCTGCAGACTCTCTTATCTTATTAATCACTCATACTTTTACATTCTGGTGCAACAGTTGGCCAGTAAAACTGGGAAAAACTCAGTCTGAGAATCTCTGTAAATTTATAAACATTTGTGCCCCCCCCCTTCTTTTTAAACCTTCATGTAGTCAGTGATTTCAAAAATCTACATGTAAAATATATATTGAGTGCATTATAAGTAAATGCATATGCACATGACCCTGGATATTTTGACATAGTAAACGATGACAAAAGTTATTAAAAGAGTATTTGGTTTTCTAAAGTTCTGTTATAAATGTAAATGCTGTATTTATCCTCAGTTCATGTGAAGTATAACCTGCATGTAACTCAGAGTGCATTAAATTTTTTTATGATAAGTCATTCTATAATTGAATTTAAATTAGAAAATGTTTACAAAATTGTGGTAAAATACATGATCTCTTTTACAAGCCTGTCCTCTTTGTCTCTAAATTGTTGCTTCACTTACAATGTAAAATGAGGTTGTGTATCACAGAATTGTATGATTTCCCAGGATCAGCTGAGAAGTTGTTTCACTGGATTATTTAATGGATAGGCCTATTGGGCATATAGTTGGATATTTTGTAAGTTTGTCTTGTTTTTTGTTTACATTTCCTATGAATGTCATCTTTACATTTAACCATGATTATATGGTTCCTATTACTGTGTAATACTTATGTGATCTGATGTCTCTAACATTGATATAAGCACAGCCTTATTAAGACTTGAAAATACTAAGGGATCCTCAGAATGTTAATAAATCATTTTGCATGAGTTATGATATAATCTCATAACCCCTTATGTTGGTCACCCTTGGAATTCAGACTTATTAAATTGTGAGCAAAGAGATATTAATTAGGAATGTAATAAGAGAAAAGGAGAAATTTAGAAAAGATTAATCCTAAGTCATTTACATTTGTTTTGATTCTAAATATGTGTGATATATGGCAAACATATAATTTCATTTTCACTTTTGTTTCTTAGTAATGAGCTTTTCAAAAAAAAAAAAAAAAAAAAAATAAGGACTACATGGCGTACATGCTTGTATTTTGTTTGTATATTATACTGTACTGACAGGCATTTAACAAAATTGAATCTGCTGTTAAGAAAAAGTCTTTTAATGTCTAAATAATTACTCTGATAATCATTTTTATTTGTGATATAAATGAAGTAAATGTGCCTTTTAATAAGAAATATTTTCATGATCTTTTTTGCATTGTGTTTAAGCATGCATTTTGCATGCAGTATTTTAAGTGACAATAACAAAATGGTTTTATTTTTATTTCTACAGTCATCACCATGGAAGATTTGTTTCGTTCCTTTTTTACATGTTTACATTTTTAAATTGATTGAACTGGTAAGTAAAAGATATTATTTTGAAAATCAAGAGTGGTTGATGGTAATGACCATTTTTAACTGTATTGATCTCCTTTAGAAGGAGAGCTCCATATAAAGACATACAAAAGTAATCAAATTTTAAAACTAAAATGTATGATTTTTTCTTTGCCAAATGATAGTTTACAGCTGAAGATAACATATCTATATAATACGTTAAATATGGCTAATTTGTTAACCCTCAGCTACCTTAATAGCATAGTTGGTAAAGATAGCAAGTTTAGACTCCAATTGCTGATGAATTTTGAATTTTCCATTTAATATTAACATTATATCACAGGGAAAGAATACTATAATGTGGCCCATCAGGATGACCAGTAAAGAAATCTTAATGACCCTCTTGACTATGTATAAAGACTGTAACCTTATAACTGATGTAAGAAGATCTGATTGTGTGGAATTAAAATTCCCTGGTGTTTCTACTACCCAAGATCTTCTTATGAGTGCATGGGACTGCTGTAAACCATCTCCTGTTAAAACATACCTTGGAGCATGACACTTTATTCATAAAAGGTACTTTCAATATCATTTCTATGAGGTTCTTTCTATTTTATTCATAAAAGGTACTTTCAATATAATTTCTATGAGTTTTTGTTCTTTCTATTAATAATCTAGTATTTAATTCCAGTGTTATATCTCCTTTAACCTCATTAATATGTATGCTTCCAAAATCTTAGATCTGTCTGTATAGTTTCTTCAGCTCTTTGAACACAAATACCCTGATTCAATCTTTTGAGATACAGTACCCGCATCGTTATTCTTTAAAGGTACACGATACGATAGGATACACGCACGATACGATAAGATACACGCACGATACGATAGGATACAAGCACGATAGGACAGGATACACGCACGATAGGATAAACGCAAAACACGATAAACGCAAAACACGATACATGCAAAACACGATACACGCAAAACACGATAGACCTGATACACGCAAAACACGATAGGATAAACGCAAAACCTGATAGGATTGTTTCAAAATGCGGAACGTTTTCTGACAAGATGAACAGATTATTTTGTTTAGATACTGCAATTTTTTAATTTTAATTCTTGCAAAGCTTCAAATCTAAATTATAAAGTACATTTAATTATTATAATTTAAAAAAATTGAGATCACTGGTAATTTTTCAAAAGTTGTTTATTTTTATATATTTATATTTTTTCTGACTGATTAAATGGATTATTACATGTATGAAATGGAGACTGTTATTTTTTTAATTTCAAAATTTCTACTCAAGGGTGTGAATTTACGGTTATTTGCGTAAATATTGAAATTCTCATCTTAAGGTTGAACTATGACTCGTTTTGTTATTGATAATTTAACGTACATATAGTTGTTGCACAAAAATCCCTTACATAATTATGTGCCGTTTCTCACGGGTACTAATATGAATTTATGAAACTCTATTAATAGATTCATAATTCATGAAAAAAAATATACATTTGTTATTTCACGGAACAAATTTACGCAATAGATTATATATTTGTATTAAATGTCTAAAGCTTACAATCTGCGGTGTATCCATAAATAGCAATGAAATATTAAAATCTCAGAAAAAAATACATGTAGAAGACTGGCTGAAAGAAAGGTCCAAAGAAATCGGCTTTAGGAACTATATACATTTCCTGAGTAGAAATCTAAATAACTGTTTACATAATGACGCTCTGCATTGATACATGTAAACCGTGTCAACAGAATATGAATCTGCGACTAATGCACATGTACATGTACGTTACGCTAAGCTCTCACTTATGCACATGTATATGTAAACATTTATATATCATATAATTAAAACCTCATATTAATGAACGAATATTGAAGGATAAAATACTTTTTCCTTTACAATACAAACCACAAAAATTAAAACAAATATTGAAAGTCCGTAACCAATTTAAAGTTAGATAAATATGATCTAACCAAATAGCCAAAAATAATATTGACTTCTAAAACAAAGTTATATACGTATGGAATGAAATCAATTAACACTATAAATCGATTTGGTGCAATACATTTACTCGTCTTGCATGGTCACGGCATAATCAGACTTCTTTTTTTATTATTAAAGTAAAATACCGTAGAAAAAAATAATGCGAGCAAATTTTCATAGTTAAGAATGTTAGAATTATTTCAATCTTTTCTACGATCAAAGAAATTGTTTCCTAGAATTAATTTTGTCTGTAACCCGATGAAAACCCAGTGATCCGAAAGAAAACCCGATGATCCGAATTTCATGTACCATAATTGTAGTATTTTTTTTTTTATTTTTTAAAAGACTTTTTTACATAATCATTATTGATACATCGATATCGTACAAATAAAAATAAATCAGCGGATTGAGTTAAGGTAGGATTCTTCTCAGATTTCTAATATTTAAAAATTAATGAAATTCTCACAGAATCAAGAAGACAATATCAGTAAGTGATAGTATCTGTGAGATTTAATTTGACCGTTTTATATTAGAGGCAAGGTCAGGTCAAGGTCATTATCTTTTTCCTTGACATTAAGAATTAAAAAAGGCCAATCATGTGATACCTACTTCTATTTCAAAAGATTAAAGATTGTTCTTTTTTCATAATAACATATTACTATATCGGGTCTATAGCATGAGATTATCAAATTTACATAAACAATTTAACTAAACTGGGTATTGGCTAATCCGAATTTTCTCTGTTCTTCTTAATTTTTTAGGATATATTAGTTATTTTCAGATGCTTCCTATACTTAACTTTTTCTTATTTTCACATATAATAAAGTAGTCTTACAAATGTACAAAATGATACAAAAACAAAAAGTTTTGATCGTTTATTAAGAGCCAAAAAATACTTTTTATGGATTTTTGGCTCAAATCTGCACTTGGGTAGGAAGCGTTTAAAAGCTAACAAAGTTCTAGTTTGTTTGAAAAATCATATTTATTGATATATTTTGAAAGTTTAGTCCCTCATTATTAATTTAACTTACATTTGAAAATTTCTCCAAGTCTTCGATTGTGTAAAATTATAACTAAATTCATTGTTCAATTATGATTTTGAGTGGCAGAAAAGAAGATATTTTCATACGCCACCATTCTGCGAAAAATATAGTCCCTGCTAGTTTTCAAACGCAGTTTACCATTTCTATTCTAAGTTGTACAATTGTAACGAGGAAAGAAAAATATGGTCTTTTAAATCCTTTTCACCTCAATATATAAGGTATATAAGCAAATGTATTTTGAATATATCATCTAGTCAGAAACCAGAGAAGAATCCTACCTTAAGGGACTTTGTTTCATCAAAATTGATTTAAATGAGTTTTTGAATTTAAATTCAAGCAAGGAAATGCTTTTTTTAAATCCATACATTGTAATATTATTTAATTGATTTAGCAAAAAAAAACTTTTATGCGTGTAGTTCACACAAGGTATGAACAGAATCCCGAAATTTGATACTGTTTGACATAAGGTGAGAGAGCAGTTCAGGTATGTTGACGGTGAACACACACGGGACGAGCTGTCATTTAGGGGGATAGGGGAGAAGGGGGAGGGGGTGTTGACCGCACAGGAATGCAGTGTGCTGATTAGAGAGGCACACATACGTTTCAGTTTTCTGGAATGGAAAGCTCTTCGATTTGACACTCAGGTGCATTATATTTTCAGTTTATTTCCACACCGAAAATGTAGGCTGTTTAAAGACATCATGTTTTTTCCTTTATATTATTTTTAGATTATTTAATGCCAGATAAAATTAATGAAAAACGTCTTTTTTATAATAACTGCCATGGTTTGATAAATTGGGTAGAGCATTTCCATCCATTATATTTTATAATTTTGATTTTTTTTAAAATTTAGATATATTAAGGAATTTATCTAATTAGATAGTGATTAAAATAAATTTAAAAAATTGAGACTAAACGGACAAAATCAGTGTTTAAGTTATCTGGATCAATGTTTTAAATGCTTTGTTATTATTTATCTTTTAAATTAATATTTTGAATAATTGTAGATACATTCAGATCAGAGGCGAAAACACATTTCTAATATTACCAGACGATTGATCGGGAGAAAATGAATATTGCAATTAAAAAAGATACATATCAATCCCCTGCTTATTATTATTATAATTTTTCCGGGGGGGGGGGGGTGTTACGTGTACATCGTGACCTACCAAAAAATCATTCTCTAGTGACTCTGACTAATTTAAGAAAATCTTATTAAAATGTAATTTTGACCAAAAAAAAATCATACAATTCGAATTACTTATTTCGAATCGATTATTTCATTTTCAAAAATTAATTTTGATTCTCTGCTTGACTATGATATGATTATTTTCTTAATTTAATCTATTATTAATCATTTAATTTATTAATTGTATAATTTTTATATTTATTCTTTTCCTTCCATGCTTTAATATTTATTTTAAGATGAAAAACTGAGAGATAAAACTTTCTTTTCTCTTTCTTGGCTAAAAAAATCTTATTTTAGCTAACAAAACGAAAAAGGAACTCGGAATACCTCGGTAGTTTCTTCCTGGTGTAAAGATAAAAGGCGAAGGTCTCCGAATATACAGGATAAACGCAAAACACGATACACGATAGAACCTGATAAACAATCTAAACGATCAACGCAAAACACGATAAACGGAAAACACGATAGAAAACGCAAAACACGATAAACGGAAAACACGATACGATAGGATACACGCACGATACGATAGGATACACGCACGATAGACACGATAGATTTGTAAAGAATAACGATGCGGGTTCTGTAAACATCATAGAGACAGCATAGATGATTATAAGAGTGTGTATCACAATCTTGACCATGAGGTTCAATTTAAATGGTCTACACATGTGTAAGGCACAAAAAATGGCAATGGGAATTAGTTTGACAAAATACACAATTTTGTAATAAACAAAAGCTGGAAATTCACTCTCATAATAGGATAAATATCTTCCAAGAGTTCAGTTTGGACTTCCTTTATTAATCCTGGTCTCTTCTTCTCTATGGAGTTAAAGTCCCGTGTCTTTAACAATTTTTTTTTCCTGACAACTGTTTTTTCTCCTATCATTTAAAACCTGACTTCTTCTCCAGTCAAAGGTCTTTCAGGGTAATGCAGGTAATTCTTACCCACTTGTGGTAATAAATGGTTATATTCTTCATTGGCTTCTTCTGTAATCAAGGGTCTGTCCATTTAATATCTGACACTATTAGGATCACCCTTTTCTGGGCATAATTGGCTATACAGTGTATTTTTCATGAGAAATGATCTCAATAGTGCCATCTCTTTTTATTTTGATTGGTATACCTCTGTCTACATCTTTCTCTGTAAAAATTCTCTTTCCAAGCCTAATTTTACTCATTCCTTTACTCTTTTCTTTACTGGGGGTGTTACCCATAGTTTTAAAAACCCAAAATGAGATGTAACACCTTAAGCTTGATTTATACCCTTTTTTGTCAATATTTAGAATTCTAGTAAGCTTATGTTGCATATCAGTTTTTTTAAAAAAGACATATTTTTTTCCTTTCAAGTATTCTCAATGAAGAGCTCATTAAATTATGCAGAGACTAACAGAATATATCGTATACTGATACAAGAACATAAAACAGGAGATGGATAGAGGATTCAAGAAGCACATGAATAAATATGATTCCAAACCGAGTCAATCATTATGATCCTGAATATTGGTTTACAGGATGACAAAGAACTACAGATTATGGGACAGGATTGTATCTTTCACTGTCAG